TATTGACCCTTATGACTGGTTTTGTGGTCCAGGGTCACATATGAGCTTCATGTCGAGATCTCACTAGTTTTTATAACAGCTTCTATCTGTTCTTTTTCTCATTTCTTTTTCAATGCTTATTTTACCATTATCAGGAGAGAAGAAGTTTGTGTGTTTAGAGTGTTCGAAGAGATTCATGCGCAGTGATCACCTGGCCAAGCACATAAAGACGCATCAGAACAAGAAGGGAGGGGGCGGAGCCGTGGTGGCCAGCGTGGGCGGAGCCGTGTCCTCGGACAGCATCATCACGACGGGCGGCACCACACTCATCCTCACCAACATCCAGCCCGGCACCATGCAGGGCCTGGCCACCGTCAGCGCTACCGTCAACACGTCTAGCTCACAGGACCAGCTGAGCACAGCCGAGATTCCTCTGCAGTTAGTGTCTGTGTCTGCCGGGGACGCGGCCGAGTGACGGTGGGGACGGCTGTGGAGACCACGCTTGAAGAGGACGAAACGCTGCTCTGGGATGCAGCTGAAAATTCTGTCGGACTGCCAAGGTTCCTGTACAACATCACATCCTCTTCTCCCGCAACCTGAGACTTCATTTTGACTACATCGATTCCACGCTCACGCATATACCTTGCTTTTATACCTTTACATATTTACCCTCCTTTACGTAAATATGTATATTTACGTAAATGCATATATACACACACATATATATATATATATATATATTTTACAAATATAGAATTATTGGGGGTTTTGTTCGTCTTTTTATGAGGGAAGCATTATTTCTTGTTTTCACATACAACACTGAAATGCCTTATATTGTATTATAAGCTGTCGTGTACAAATCTCGAGTTCTTCATGGGTGTCAAGCGTCTGTTTCAGTGTGTACTTGTTGGAATGGGAATAATCATGTTGTGTAAAGAATGCAGCGGTGGTGACAAACGGGTGGCTGATGTTAAAGGAGCAGCTTAGCCAAAAGTGAAAATCCTCACATTATCTATTCCCCCTCCACTATGGCATTCCAAACTTCTGTGGGTTCTTTGAGGGAAAATTGATTTCTTTCCACGTCTGTCAAGCTCCAGAATGGACAAAAACTCCATCAGAATAGTCAATGTGACTCAGATGCTGTATTCTAAATCATCTGATATTGTGTTGTGTGAGAAACAGACCCAAAATGCAAGCTTTTATAACTGTTCCTCCTCACACAAAGCTTCAGAAGACTGGGAATGTAGCGTCTTCAGTCTGAACTAGTTGTCGTGGAGCGGGGGAGTAAGTAATGGCAGACTTTCCATTTGTGGGTGAGCTGTTGCTTCATTTTAATTATAGGTCGTAAGTGATATTCGTGGTGAAAGTTCTCCATACGAGGAGGAAGATGTAAAACATGAACTTCAGAGAGAAGCCTGCCAGTGTGCTCTTGGGATTCATGAAGGTGTCCAATAGTGTCTTTACATGTCCTCATAAAAATGCATTTGATTTATTTTATGTAGTTTTATTCTGTGTAGGTAAACCCAGGCCCAACAAAGGGGAAAAATATGAAACAATCATGTAATTAAAAGCATTTTATGTATCGTAATTCTCAAACCTCTTGGAGTTGATCAGATCTTTCAATGTGAGTTTGTTGCGAATGAAGTATTTTTGGAGCAAAATGATATTTATAATACATTGAAACTTGGATTTGTGGTGTCCACAACTGCTTTTCTAAGGAAAAAAACTCCCTTTGGCTTTACTTTTTTTTTAAAGAACTGGACGGTAATCAGCATCAAGAATCATTTGTATGAAATTAATCTGTTTGTAGTTTGCCAAATTGAATTCGCACTCTTTGATAAAATAAGAGAGAAAACTTGATTTATGTCTGATGGTTTGCAGCGTCTGTACTATGTTTCAGGACCAAATGAGCAGCACTTGAGTGTCTGGCGTCAATCTAGCAGTGCTGTGTCCAAATACTGCGGCCACCTTCAGTAACAGCCTATTGGGATGTATTAAAGAGTGTCCGAGCCTTTTACCTTTTGCGGTCAAATCACTGCCTAACCGTGTGATGATGCAGGTGACGCTCACGGTGGTCAATATGTAGGTTTTGAATTCCCTCTCCTTCGTTATTGCCGTGAGTCTGACGCCTTTAATCACAGAGAGTGATTGTCCTCATAGGAGTTCGATAATGAACGTTTTGTAAGGAGTTCACAAGTTCTTTTATTTGAATACACTGCAGGTCATCAGGGAGGATGCACTTATTTGCTGTCAGTCCATGTACAAGTATGGCTTTGTTTCCACTTGGTACTGTACAATTATTCTCCGCTTATCTGTTTTTATTCCTTTAGCTAATCATGGTTTTCATGTCTCTTTAACTACCGATTTTGAGTACCATTGTCAATTTTTGTGTTGGGGATTTTCCCGTAGCCAAGTTCGTAACGATCAGGAGTTTGATTGAAAAGGTCCAGCAGGGTTCATGGCAGATAATCAAACACTATTTTGTTTTCTGATTTGATGAGGGTTGTTCTGTCACAGTGATCCAGCATTGCATTTTTTTTGTTTTTAGTCTTTTGCTAGTTTGTGAAGTCTAATATGATTTTGTTCATTATAAATAGCATCTTAACATGTCACTTCTATTTTTATTTTGGTCATTTTTCCAAGAAAGCTTCGGATTATTGTACAACGCCCACTTTTGAGGGCAGCTGTTTATTTCACACTAAATTGACTAAACATATTCCTGTGCTTGTCAGTTGTCTTATTCTCAGAACACTGATGCACATACTTGCACACAACAGAGGAAAAAATGGATAGTTGACAAATAAAATCCAAGTTTTTACTCCCATCATCACAAAAAAATAAAATGGTATGGGAAGTTGTACACTACTGTTCAAAATGTTGGTGAAGAATGATTTTTTTTTTTATATATATATATATATATATAGAAAAAAAATTCAGCAGGGACACATCAAGTTGTGTTCTTTTAAACTGTATATTCATCAAAAAATGTATCCCAGTTTCCACAAAAATATTAAGCAGCAGAACAGTTTTCAATATAAGGAATATAAATAAGAAATATTTATTTCTGAATTCTTTTCTGAAGGATCGTGTGACTGAAGACTGGAGTAATGATGCTGAAAATTCAGCTTTGCATCACAGAAATAAAGCTAAGATCATTCAAAAACATTTTTTTTACTTTACCATTTTCAATTACTTTTTTAGCCTTCACTAGTTTATTTGAAATTATTTAAACTGACATTTAAGTACAAATGTTCCTTGAGGTCTGTAAATTCATATGAGTTCATAAAAATACATGATTTTAAACATTTGCATTCTTGTAAAACTATAAACATGAGATTGAATAGGCAGAAGCATATGTGCAGACCATCTCTTAGTATTTGTATTAAGACCACAAATTTTGTGATTTAAATTTTGTACCTTGTCATATTTGAAAACCCATCAATTTTTTTTATAATTCCTAGAAGTGTGTGTGTGACCTTTGTGTGTATGAAGTCCAGCAGATGTCACTGCAGCAACAGGACCAGAGCAGGACATCCAGCTGAGTCTTCCTGCCCTCTAAACCCTGATATAATCCTCATCTCAAGTGCGTCTAGAAGCTTATTTGGCAATGTTAAAATATGTATAAAACGACGAGCATCCACCCACCCAACCCACTGTTTTACCCCCTTAAATTGCATATGAAATACGTATTTATTTTTGAACTTGTTCAAGTGTGAACAAAATTCCCCTTCATGCCTTTTTCATTTTCAATTTATAAATACACTTACGGCAATTTCCTCTTAGAGGGGCTTATATATTAAAACCACATCACATTTCATGATCAGAGTCTGTTTTAACTGTTGTCTATTGTTTTCAGGTGAACACTGTGTGGAGATTGATTTGGATAGTTGACAATGTCCTTTTTTTAAATCAAGCTTTTAAATTTCAATTTATTTTAATATATATATAAAAAAATGTATTTCAGATGCTTATATAAATGTTATTCTGAAGATTGTGGGTAACTAAACAGTTACGGTTCCCATTGACTTCCATTGTATGGACAAAAACAAAACAAAACAAAAAACAGTGCAAGTCAATGGGAACCAAAACTGTTTGGTTACCCACAATCTTCAAAAAAATCTATCGTGTTCAACAGAAGAAAGAAACTCATACAGGTTTGGAACGACATAAAGGTGAGTTTTTTTCATTTTTATTTTTATGAACTATCCCCTTAAACATCCTTGTGGTGTGTAAAATGAATTTAAAACACAAATAGCTACTCCAAAAATTGCACTTAAGATAATTATAAAGAAAACATGGTTAAAATAGCCGACAACAGCTCGACAGCTTGACCTTTCATGTGGACTATCCATCAAAGTTTGGGCTTCTTAAATTGCAAACTGCTTTTGTCGTCACTTACACGGTTGCGGCCACACAATCAAAAGTGTGGCCACTGAAAACGTTTATTTGTCAAATCAAAGCGAAAAAAGCACATGCTCCTGAATTCGACGCGATTTGTTGCAGAGATTCGGAGAAAACAGTCTTTTAACGTTCATATGGAGCCATCCGTTGCTTGCCACCTTTCATTTGCATAATTTAATGAATTCAATTCATTGTAATGCAATACAGAGAGCACGGTGAACATGAAATGACAGTTTGAGTTAATGAAATGTGTTAACGGTATCATCATTTACTTGTATGTTAATTAGTCCAATTAATTTCCAGTGCACGGTAATCTGAATATTGTAATAGCGCCGTGCGCATCTGAAGTCAGGTGGGGAGCGGGGCATATTGAAGCAAGGCCTATGAATCACCACATCCTCACCTTTCCAAGCCTCAGGTTACCCAGAATCCTCCAGTCGCCAAACAGGCCTTCCTCAAGCCACGCGCCTTTAAAGCGCCAGATAAAAGCATCAGCAGTCCAGCTGATAGCTGAGTTTTGTTTGGACGACTTCTTTCTGACCTTGTGTGATGTCCGGTTCCTCTGATAGAAGGAAAGTGATATATTCCTGTAAAAGCAGCGACCGCGGTGCGAGGAGATCGATGGGAGGCCCGCCGTGGACCCCCGGCCACGTTGCAGCTCTGATAAGTGAAATCGCTCTGGTGTGGATGGGCCACTTTCTGCTGGACCGCACAGATAAAAACGCCCATGTTTTCCAGCGGGATCTGGATGGGGAGGGCAGCTCAAAAGAGTAGATGCAACTCTCCAGCTGGCATTGTTTTTCAGGAGTTGCATTTTGTCATATTCAGTGTTCAAATTGCTTTAAAACAGTGGTTCCCAACCTCGTTTCTGGATGTTTTTCATGTCTCCTTTGACTGACACATTCATTTCGGGTCTTGGGGTCTCTAGTAATGAGCTGATGAGTTGAATCAGGTGTGTTTGATTAAGGAGACATGAGAAATGGGCCGTTTTGAGGGGACTCCATCTAAAACATGCATGGTTTCAGCCAAGCCAGAGACCCTCAAATAAATCAATTAAAATACCAGATTTTATCGCCAACATAAGAACTTTTATTAATAACATTAACAAACCATAAATTACAAGTAAAAAACAGTACAACACAGTAACAACATCTATAAATACATTTTGAACTGTGTGGGTATTACTGAAATTCTATTTATTTATTTGCATAAAGCTGAGGGAGAAAGGAAAAAAGGAAGACAGAGTTGTTACAAAAATCAAGTCATATTCCGTTATACAAAGCTTTCAAAGCAGCTAATAAACATGAAGATAACAGTGTTAATGTAAAATTAATCACTTATGAAACAAATCTGATTTCAGTTACCGGCAGCTCTACAGAAGACACTAATGTAATCATTATTCAGTTTAATTCGGTTCAGTTAAAATTCATTAGTCATTAATGAGTGTAATTCAGCTAGAAGCAGAGTCATTATTCAGCTCAATTCAGTTCAATGTTGATTCAATTCAGTTCAATAACTGTGTCAATGCTGCAAAGTTATTGTCATTATCCAGCTCAATTCAGTTCAAGTTTTATTCTCATCCGCTACGGTCAGTGCAGTCAAATCAATAATATTAAGTGAATATTTATTGTCTTTTAAACCCCAGCTGAGCAAACCCGGTGACAGAAATGCCAAAAACATCTATAGAAAACAGACTGAAAGTAGGAAGAAAAGAATATTACAAAAAAAGATGAATGGCTAACCATAATAAAGAAATAAATAGTATTAATGTTATGATAGCAGGTTCTGTTGATGAAAGGGCAGACTGCAAATTTACCCTAAAGATGCTGAAGTTATACTGAAATCTGTTCTGAAAGCAATCTGCATTTCATTCATGCATGTATAATATATATATATAAAATATGGTTGAACCTTGTGGTTTTGAAGAGTGTACAAGATTTGCTGAAGTATTTGGGTAAAACAAGACTTCTCCCAGTGTTGGTGTGAGCTCAGGGGAATCGACGGTAGCAAAATACGGTAGGTTTAAAAGTAAAAGCAATAAGAATTTAGCGCACGATGCATGAGGGCGAGTGTTATTTCAGGTATTCTCTTTCATCTGCGCAGCTGTTTGTGGTTTGAGATGCCAAATGGCTGTCTGTGAAGGCCCTCTCACTTCGAATTAGAGTAATTGGACCCAGTCTTCCACTTTTTTTCATTTCAATTCATGTGCAAAATATATAAATAAGATAACTGAAGATTTAGCAGGCCGGCCGAAAGCCCACACAGAAATAACATAAAGGCATTTTCAGCCGCATTTGTGACACAATTTGATATTCCTGAGGGAAAGGGCTCCTGTGAAACAGGACCATAATGAGAACAGTTGGTAGAAATGGTTTATTTTATTATATTTACCTCAGGATGTAGCACATTTCAAGAAACCTGAGGTTTCATCTCGGTCTCTCTCATTTAGTCGAACTGCTTCTCTCTCGCGCTCTCTCTTCCTTTCTGTCGTTTTTGAGGTGGTTAAATATAAGGCAGTAATTTCCCAAAATGGCCACTATTCAATGAGATTGAAAGAGCAACAACTTTGCGAGGAGGGTCTTAGGAATCGTTCTGAGAGCTGCATTCATGTGCCATGTGCTCTGTGTTTCATTCAGCCACTTTGTGCTATTCACATACATTTCTACCCGTGGTGTCTCTCAGCTCTGGTAAATGTGTTGATACTCGGGCCTAATGTATATTCACACACGTTCCATGAGAATCCCTGCCGCAGTCACATTTACGAACATCCTGTTGTTGAAGTCCATATTACACGATACGCATAGTTTATATTGCTAATATGAATAAATATAGGGAAGTAAAGTTAAACAGCACTAGAACCTACACTGTAAAAAAAAAAAACTGTGACATTTACGGTAAAATACCGGCAGCTGTGTTTGCCAGAACTTCACCGTAAAAAATATGGTAGCAACATTTTAGGTTTTACAGACTTAACTTAAATTCACAATAAAATACCGTATTTCATTAACTGATGTAATGTTAATAAACCAACATACTGAAGTGTTAATATCTGTTTTAAACCATTGTAATGCACTGATAACCACCAAAAACTGGTGGTGATGAGAAAGTCACGATGAACCAAAGCTCATCAAAAAAAAGCTTTTCTACGAGCGGAGGAGGGCAATACTTTTATATAGAAGGCACACAGTGTCATTCACACAAACACTAAACCCCATCACGGTGACACACGTGATACTGAAATAATACAATAAACATTAATTTAACAACATTAGATGTAAGATTAAACCCTAATGTACACAATTGATAAAACAAACT